TAAATAATCACCTTCTTGCGTAGTTTTAATGCTAAAAGTGATGACAAAATGCTCTTATTAGTGCTTTTCATGATTTGTAGGTGATATATGTATAAAGACGGCTAAGGAGCAGTTTTGGAGTCAAAAGTGATGAAAAAGAGGCCAACTGTGAAATTTCCTAAGTGACCCGGGCAAAAACAGGCCGAAAATTCAGAGAATTGGATCCACCGCGGTTTCACCGCGACCGCGGCAGAACCGCGGTGGGAAGCAGCTGCAGAAGTTGTGAGAATCCGCGAGGGTGTTTGGCCGCGGTTCTACCGCGACCGCGGCAGGCGCAGAAACTTCTGGGACCAAAGTGTCAATTACGGGATTTTGAGACCTAAACCCTATTTAAAACATTAGACTTCGCCCAAGAGAGGCATGTATTGATTTTTTAGGTTTCTTAGCAAGGAAAACAATTGTGAGAAAGTACTCTAAACATCTTTCTTCTTTTCTTTTGATTTTATGATGAATTCAAGCTTAGTTTATGTTCCCATAGCCATGAGTAGCTAAATTTCTTGTCTAAGGCGTTGATGGAACCTATTGGGTGATGAACTTCTTGTTTATGTGAATACAAATTGCTAGTTTAATCTTTATTTGTTCAACTTCGTGTTCGTTGTAGTTAATTGACAGGATCCTCAATTAGCTGTGCCTATTTAGTGTGCATAACTTGGAAAAGAGTGCATATTTAGGGTATTGTTGAACAACACCACTCCTAGATTATTAGAGGAATCTATAATTGCGGGTTTAAAGGCGGGATTAGGGATAACGAAGCCTTGGGTGTAATCTAAAGTGAATCGTGCTAAATAAAGTAAGCTAGTGTATCTCGGGAGAGTGCAATAGTAAATTACTGTGATTACTCGGGAGAGATTTACGGTAAGATTAGCGGTCATGATCGATAGAGATGTGTGGGTAAATTTGTATGAGCATAAACAGAAGGGATTCCATCAACAGGGGAAATCATTGCCTTAGCTTTTTCTCATAATTGTTTACAACCTTTATTTTTACTTAGTTACAGCCATTTAGTTATTTGCAAGCTAGTTGTTAAAGAACACTCAACTGAGATTTGAATATTTGGGAAGCTGGTTCTGAAGACTTAGTGGGTCTGAAGATAGCAGTTGATAGGTTAACTCTCTGTGGATTCGACCCTGAGCGTAATACTCGGGTTATATTTGCAACGTCCGCAAAGTCCTTTTTATAAGGCATAGTTGGGCGTGATCAAATATTTAAATTCATAACTTCATGAGATTGTTTAGATCTTGCCTCTGATGAAGCAACTTAGGAGTTCAGAGGGCTTTATAACTAAAAGACGATTGTAACATGAGCACTGTTACACACAAGACATTGTACAAGACCATGCACGGCAGAAAAATACAGTTCATAGTTTCCAGGGTATGCTAGAAGGAAGAAATACTCACCAACTGGACATCAAAAGCTCCCAAAAATGCATAATCCATGCTCAATTAAGCTTATTTGTGGAGGAACATCAACGTTCAAAAGAAAGAGCCTAGACTTCTTTCTGCTGTATAGTCAACTAACATGTAATAGCTCAAAAGACGGGGATACCAGCTCTGTTATGCTTTTTTCTAAATAAGAACATTAAAGAAATTCATAATGGGTCCTTTCTCTTTTATTCTATATAATAACCATTTATTCTCCACATTGATTATGAAGTGAATTATGACTAGATTTTTAAAATGGCATCACCGCCTCTTACCTTGCTACGAATCTATAGTTAAGCAACACTCGTACACAAAAAGATGGTCCAAAATTAGAACATATATCCATAAAGTTTTGCTATGCAAGGAGGATGGAGGTTTGGGGTTCAGAAACCTGAGACTTCACAACGGAAGTTTTTTGCTTAAATGGTTATGGAGGTGGAATAATTATAGAGAGGAATATTGGAAGGAGGTTGTGAAGATAGCCTCTTCACATTGCACTGCTTTTTGAAGTTTATTGATAGTCTATGGGGTGATCTAGCTGAAAATTGGTGAAGTAGTAGAGTTTAAGTTTGGTCGGATAAATGGTATGGGGAAACTACCTTAGCTGCTTTCCTGATTTGTACAGCGTAATAGTCAACAGAAGTTGTGCATGGGATACAATATGTCATGCCTGCTAATGTGAAGAAAGCCTTTTAGACTTGGAAGGGTCAACAAGTGAGGCAAAAGAAGACTTGGATAAGCATTCCCCTTTGGATTAGGTGGACAGAATAGCTTGAGAGAAATCGTAGGTGCTTCGTGGGTAGGAGGAAAACTGTTCCTTTAATTTGTAAGAAACAGATGTATTCAGAATCTTCTGACTAGGTGTAATGCCTTCTCTGATTTTTGACACTGATGTTATGCTGGAGTTCTAAGATTCCCTCTAATTGCAATGGTTTAACTCCGACTATTTTACTGATGCAGTACCAACTTGGTATTATTTGTTTATGAAATAAAATTAACCTTTACTAATCGACAAAACTTTTGTCCAGTCATGTAGAAAACAGGAGGGATGGAATAATTAGGGAGTCCTTCCAGCTATCTTTCTTTCTTTAAGTTTAACCAGTGTTATTAAAGCCATAGCTTCGTTGCTTAAAGCAATGATCGATGCAAAGCAAGGGGTCGTTGCTTCATGGACGAAGCCATGCGCTCCAAATAATGACATGCGAAGTGATCCCAATGAGAAACAACTTGATTCTTTAAATCTTAACTTTGAGGATTTAGAGTAATATATTATCAACATTATTGCATATGGGATGTCAAAATTAGTTGTATTTCAATTGAAATTTGATTATTATAATACTAAACTTATATATATCATTAATTGTGCACTTTACTTAAAGAAGAAGTCTGCACCTCACTACTCACTTTTTGCTTCTAGCCCCAAGGAACTTGTTGCTTATTTGAGCTTTTCACTTTTAAAAATACTGAGTTTAAATTGTATTCTATCAGGTAACCTGAAAGACATAATTTTATATAGCAAACTTGGATAAAAAATTCACAAAAAAAAAATGATCACTTGTCTTTTGCAACAGCTCATATTGCAACCAGTAAAATTATATTGACAGTTGTTAGTTTATATTAAACCCTGCTACAGTTACATTTTCGATTTTTTTATTTTTTGTTGATGAATTGGATAGGGGCCGCGCGAACGCTCCCTCCCTTATATGGGGGATTTTTTCACCCTTCAATATCATGGAAGTATAAAACAGGGCAGATTCCATAAGAGAAAAAAAGTTCTAAACAAAGAACAAACAACAGCCACGCTCCACACAAGATAGAGGAAGCCCAAAGTAAGAAAAGCCAGAAATTACCTATTTGCTATGTATCTAATCAACAGATCAGTGGCGAAGTACTCCAAATAGATATCAAGTAATTGACCTTGGCTGCGATCAACGGCATGGCGGCACATTTCCTCTAAGTCATAAGGCATGTCGGAGGGGTCCCAATCATTCGACATGTCAATGACTCGCCACATAGAAGGATCCTTACATATTCGCCTCCAAGTAGTGCATACTTTCTGTGCTGTCTCCAGTATTTCTACAGCACCCAGCCTGTGTAATATCTTCGCCCATATTCCTTCTGGCAGTTCCAGCCATGGCGGCTTATTCACCATTGACGCCTTCTCCTTTTTACTTTTACCTTTTCCTTTCCGCTTTCTATTCATTTGTTTTCTAGGGTTCGAGCTGTTTGATTAACGGGGGGAATTGGGAAAGTGAATGGGAGCTATATAGGCTGCTCTCTAAAGTGGCAGAGAAAGGGATAAGTTTTGAATTTTGAACTCTTCTACTGTTTTCTTTGCATAGTTTCCCATAAAAACTACAAGTACACCCCTACCGGTAAAAAGGCTTATTTTAAGTGTGTTTAAGCTAAAATAAATTTAAAGTCATTTTGTAATATTTAAATAAAGCAAAAATATATATTTAAACACTTGTTTTAAGTTAAATGATGAAAAAACTCAAAAGCTAATATTCCTAACTTATAACTTATGCTTAAAAGTTACTTAAAATAAGTTCATTTAAACGGACTTTTAATTGCTACATAAGTTAAGTAAAGGGGGCAATTGATATAAGATAATTCGGCCGTTTGCTACTGGTAAAAGTTTTAGGACCCGTTTGTCCATAGATTTTTTTTCCTTTTTTTCAAAAATAATTTTAAAAATATATTTGTCCATGAAATTTTGTAAGTTCTTGAATTTTTTTTTAACCATTTTTCCAAAAAAAAAATCCTCGCTCACAAAATTGTAATATTTTTCAAGTGAAATGCATGTCCAAACATAATTTCAAATTCTAAATACCATTTCTCAACTTAACTCCAAAAAGTGAAATGCATGTCTACACATAAGCGAAATTACAATTTTTTATGTCCAAATGCCTACTTAATTCCCTTTTATTTGTCATATCATCTTTTGCATTATATATAATATTACTCTTACTTTTACCACATTAATCACTTCCCACATTTGTTTGAGCAGGGGTGAAAGTGGGGAAAAAATTAAATACTTTTTGATATTTTAAAATAACAAGTATTTAAAATAATTATTTTTCGTGAACACTATTAATTGTCGTTTGGTTTGAAGATAAGTTATACTCGGATTAGTTATATGGATTGGTTATGATGGAAATAGCTATGCTTGAATTATTTTGTATTGATTGATTGTTATGTTATATTAATCCAGGGATTGTCAATTTTACTGCTTTATCGTAGGATAACTTATCCTGAGATTACTATTCCACCATCTGGCAGAGTGGCAGGTATAAGTCAACCAGTACTATTTTTAATCCTGGAATAACTAACTCTAGGATTAGTAACCAAACAAGGAGTAAAATGATACTAAATTTTTATCCCAGGATTAAATTTGTGCTTATCCATCATAACAAACGACCCCTTAGAGATTTTTTGATATAGTGTATAAGATAGTTAATTATGGTATAATAATATATATTGAGTTAATATAGTTAATTATGGTATAATAATTTGTATTGCGTTAATACGTTCTTTGGTTGTGATTACAAATGTAGGATAACTAATCCATGTATTATTTTAAACATTAATAGTGTATTGTCTTATCCCCCCCAGCATGGAATAACTATTCCCTATATAAGCTCTATATGGATATAAAGCATAAAAGCACCAATCGGACAACGCTATCTTTTGTCTTTTCCCAACAAGCCAATGAAGATCAGGTATCCTAGGGTATAATTGTAAATTTATTATTTTTTAATTAAGAAAATAAACAAATAATGTAGATGATACTCTATAATCCAATTTTAGTGCAATGAACCAAACACCCAATTAGAAATTATTCATATTTTATTAATTCACGTATTACTAAATTAATGCATTACTTACCCATGTGGTTCAAAGACAAGTAATACATAGATTATAATGCATGAATTAGGAATAGAGATTAATAATGCATGAATTAGGAATAGAGATTAATAATATGAGGATTAATAGTACATGAATTAGTTCTTGTTGGGTGTTTGGTTTATTGCACTAAATTACAAAGTATCATCTAAATTATTTGATTACTACGTATATTTTATACTTTATACATTTCTGTATATTATATAAATATATAAATTTTATACACTTTTACTCCTATCAGATATAAATAATTTTGGACATAGACTAAAGTGATCTTTGCTCAATTTGGGAAAAATCACAACCAAACAATGTATTAACTCGATATAAATTCTTATACCATGATTAATTGCCTTATGCAACATATCAAACGTCCCCTTAGGATACGATACTGTATGGGTCAGAATCCGACTCCACGATAATTAACGAGGCTAATCCCGTCTTAAGCTAATTCATGATTAATTAGTGGCACGATCACTCAGAATTAACGATATTCAACCCGCATCTGGTTCGATCAGCAAGGCCATGGCCTATCCGCCACCATAAAGGCGAAATCCCAACGTGGTCACGGCCATTTATTGCCAGCTCACGAAGCTCACAGCTATAAATACCAAGAGAGGAAACCCTAGAAAAGGGGGGCTTCTTCTGGGCCACGATTGAGAGAGAAAAAAGAGACAACGATACCCAAATTATGGGCAAGAGGAACACCATTGTAAGGCTCTGAACCTCTTCATGGAGAGGCAGACCAAACCAATATTATCAATAAAGGCTTCTAATGTTTCTCCCCCTAATCCTGAGTACTTATTTTCGTTTCTTTCATTTGGTCCAACGGATTATTACGGTTTGCTATGATTTTCCCGTGATTTATTCGTATTGTTTTATACTCATAAGGTATGTAATAACTCTTGAGCAAACAATTTGGCGCCGTCTGTGGGGATTTCCTAGCAAAATCGCGTAGTTCATCCCTGGACCAAAAGGAAAGAAACGCCAAGCTCGAGGAGGAACTCGAAGATCTCAAATCAAGATCTAAGTCCTCTCTCTCTCTC